ACATATTTAGAACTGTAAAATACATTTAACACACAAGCTGTCGTCATCTACAGATTCAGACATATTTATATTTTTTTTGGGGGGGGGGGGGGGGGGAGGGTATATTTTTTTCGGGGAGAGATGGGTGGTCCTATCGTTAGATTTTTTTTTATTTTCAAAAATAATAGTACACATGTACATGATGTAGTTTTGCTTGTTCTTCTGAGAAGTGGTGGAAATTACAATCTTTTTGATTGTACTAAAAATTAATAGTATTAGTTATACTAATATAGAACTTAAAATTTGTGTTTCTATTTCCTATACCTATTTTAATGTTATATACAGTAAAACCTGACTAATCCGACATCCACTGGGAGACAATTTTTGTGGCGGAATAGACAGGGTGTCGGATTGTACAGTGTAAATGTTATGAAAACTAGTTTAGTAGGAAAGATATATATTACCACCATCCCTAAATCGACAGTACTACTGTATTACAGAAGACGTTTTGTCTGTACGCTGTCCTGACCCTGGCACTCGTCCTTGGGGCCCAGTCTTCCGCTCAGTGGAGGGTGACGGACTTCCCTCACCCCGTGTATCAGTCCAAACAGTGCGGTATGAAGGAGTCCTCCTGGATATGTGACCCCAACGGCATTATCTCCTCAGCCGACGGTAAGGGGTAGGACGTTTTTATCGAACACAAATAACTACTTAGTGTTCAAGCTAGTTCCAATTTAGTAATATAGGCAGGCACGTAGTATCAGGGGGGGGCCAGGGGGGGGCCTAGCCCCCCCACTTTTTCTCCCGACATTACCTGTACTATAGAAAATGTTTACTGAAAGAAAGGTTGGCCCCCCCACATTTCAGCACAGTGTAGTGTTATAAAGAAAATTTACCCCAAAAAGTTTGAATTGAAAGGTAGTTGGTCTTGAAAAAGTTGGCCACTAACCCCCCCCCCCCCCCCCCCCACCACCCACTAAAATGGATTTTTCATTTTTGTTAACTTTTAATTTTCTTTTTTTTTTTTTTTTTTTTTTTTTTTTTTTTTTTTGGCTTGTCAACTTTTTCAGGTAAGTAAAAAAAAAATTTTCTCAGGTTGGCCCCCCCACTTTCAAAAACGATGCTACGTGCCTGATAGGAATGAAACATTATTGTGTAAATACATTACTCATTGTATTTTTTGAATCCATCTCAAGATTTGTAATTTTTTGTGACTTGTTCTTCATTGGAAACATGCTTTACGGTGAATTGTTGTCTGTTTTTATCATGCAGCTGAAGCTTTACAAGAAATGGTTCGGGATACATACGAGTCCACTCAGTGTCCGTGTTCTGAGTGCGCAGCCAATAACCAGGGTTATCCCATAATGGTGGCCATAATGCCCCGGATGTACAGAATTGTAAAGTAGGTAAAACACATGTGTTAATTATACATCATGGAAAATTCTATAAGGGGCTTAAAGGAGGATGCATCTCCATCCCCCCTCCCCGAGATTTCTCAAAAGTATTCATTTAGTAAAGTAACCAAAAATTACCATGAACCCTTTTCCCATAAATGGTATAAAGAGTCGTACAATATATAAAGGAACAACCTTTCTCCCTCTCTCTTGCGTGAAGTGAATATAGTTTATCCTCAGCTATTCTTGCAATTTAAATTATTGTATATTTGTTCTAATTGTATATCTATGTGATTTTCTTTTCTGTTTTAGCCGGTCGTCTAACGTCCAGGACGTGCTTTATGATGCCCGTGTGTACGCCTACTACCTCAGTATGTTCTGGAATGTCACCACTTGTGACACAAACACGCTGGTCTTGTATTCCAGGGATGACGACATCGTACGTTATGGCCACAGGCCTTTGGATGCTTAAAAAAATTTGTGTGTAAACAACAATTCAACACCTCAATTTTTTTTTCTTAGCGATCTGAAGGCCTGTGGTTATGGCATGTAGCAATGGTTTTTAAGGGAGGTGGGCATAAAAAAGTTGACAAGTAAAATAAAAGTGAAAAATAAACTGTACACACTCTAACATCCTATGTCATGGGTTGGATGTTCCTCTTTAATATTTTGAACATTTTTTTTTCTTTTTTTTTCTTTCAAGTGATGTAATTATCATCTGTTTGACCGTGCAGCAACAAATAAGGGAAGCAAGTTGAAATTACAAATTCTTTTTTATTGCAGACATACATTATGACATGGAGAAATGCACGTGCACTTCTGGATGACACAAAAGTGCAACAAATAACCCTCAAGAACCGGTTTTATTTTGATGATGCTACCAATCAGGCGGAAATTGGAAAGGGACTTAAGAATGTTGTAATGGATATAAGGTAAAGGTCGATAACTGTACAGGAGTCTATTTCTGATGAAAATTAAGTACAGTATCAAGAATTAATTAAAAACCTTAATGCATACACATGCATGTGGTCATGAACTATTATATTTTTAAATACATCGATGTATGGTAAAGTGCTTAAATTTCTTACACTTGTATTGATTATCAAGAGAGAAACTACTTCAAACACGTGCGATGTTTAATGTTTTTTTTTTTTTTTTTTTTTTTGTACAGTGAGGTGTTCAAGGCAAAGGCTCCACGTCGAGGTAGCACCAGAAAGTGATTGATAAAGTGAATGTTCAATTTATTTCATTTTTTAAACGTGCAACTTTTTTTTCATGGGAACTGATTGAATTAAATACCGGTCTTTAACTAACTGCAAACTTTTCTTATAATTAATTTTTCAACATTCAATCACAAAAACTTGTGTGAAAGATTGAGTAACTGTCAAAAGATTTTTTTATGTAACCGTTTTTGTATTACATTATAACTAAAGAGTTTATTTATCGTATACAGTCATATTTTCATATATTGTGCTTTTTCTGTATGAAGAGGTTTGTTTTGTTTTCCATCTAATAAAAAATAGTTTGATATTAAATTGATATCTTATTTTAGAAATTGTTTTGCCAAGGTTTTACAAAAAAGGTTTGAGCTTGGTGTTCTTGCATGTATTATTCAAATCTTGAGAGGATGGTGGTAGAGGGAGGTGCCAGGGTAGACAAATTGATTTTTTTTTAAAATAAATGGTATATCAACTCGCGGTCTATAAATGCCATTGTGTCGACCAAAGGTGAAATATTCACTTAAAACGTGACGGTTGATACCTTGCTACTTCAACTTAATTGGCAATAGCTTGTCTTATTTAATATATTGTTCGTACACAAATATGATCTTGCGTATTGAATCAGTTGTCATCAGATAAGAATAAAATACACGTGATATAGTCTATGAAAATTAAAAACGAAAGTTTACAATAGAAAAGTTGTGGAAGACATCACGTTTTTTTTCTTCAATTTTAGTCGTTAGTTTGTCATTATTTTCTTTCTTCAGGAACATCCATCCATGAAACAATGCACTTTTTGTGAGCAATTATAAATATACATATAACATTGTAGCTCTTTAATAGTCGACCCTCCCGATTTTTTTCAGACCATCGAGCTACAGATTACTGTGTTTCCTCTAGAATAATTCCTACATTGAGATCAAACTTCCGCTTGGTGTCGTTTGTACCAAACCAGTCGATGCAGAGGACTATGATACTCCGACTCTGGGTAGTTTGACAATGAGATCATACAGTCATGTACTTTTTAAAATCCTACATGATATAAAGTAATCTGAGACTGCAGTCGTGTGTCATTTAATTATAAAAAAAAAAATGTCAAGGTGACCTTGAGTTTGTATCTTTAAGAATATACATGATTGTACAGAGACATATTTTCAATCAAATGAGATATTTAAATAGTGACCAATATATGTATTCATGAACATTAATTTGTGTCACTGGTTATCGCAAAAATGAGCCTAAAGTTGAAGTCTGAGAAATTGAAGCGGAAGCCAGAGAGGACATATATTTTTACACATTCCGTCTATCAGTCTGCAGTAAGTAATAGCTAAAGGTCTTGCTTTATGATGATAAATGTTCTTTCATATAATTTATAATATTGACACATGTATTTCTAATAATATAAAACATACGGTACATAACTTGCTGATATATCCACTTTTAAAGGGATTTGTCTTGATAAGGAGAGGAATCATGATCCCCAGAGGGCTTTTATAGTGATCAAAGTTAAAATTCCATTGCATTAAAATTGGTAGCTGCAGATCTGTAGCGTTATGGTTTTATATATTTGATTTTGACTATATGGTCAAAGACAAATATATAAAACCATAACGCTACACAGGTGCGGATCCAGAATTTTTTTCCAGGGGGGGGGTCCACCCCAGTCAAAAAAAAATTCCAATCCCAGAAATCTCTTGACAAGCAAAAAAAAAAAAACCTAAACTCGCCCAAACGTCAAAAACCTATTTCGTGGGGGGGGGGGGGGGGGGGTAAGGAATGGACTTATACTTCTTTCACGTTTATATAGTGATATAGTCAGTCTGTTTATCTCAAAAGCCTCACCTCACTCATCAGCACAATAATAAATTTCTATTTCTTGGTGTATATCACAGTGGGTTTTTTTTATCCCTATCCCCTCTGTGTCTTAATTTAAAATAATTCATTTTAAAATTTTGACAAACGAAAATTGAAGATAAAACTTCCAAGGAAACTATATAATAATAAAAAATCAGATGGCATATATTAGGTTCCAGCCAGGTTATAATTCAAGATTCCATAATAAATATATGAAAAAATTATTTTGCTTTTCAATAAAATTTTGCGATAAACATTTGTGAGTGTTTGGATCGACCCTCCCTAGCTGCAATAATGTAGCCCTCTCCTTTTTTTCCAATCGGAGAGGGCTACATTATTGCAGCTAGACCGGCCCTCCCCTCCCCCTCCCACCCTCCCAACATAAAATAAATCTAGGCCATGCCATCAGGTGTGCGCATATATACTTCATTGTGGTTAGATAAACATGATTAAGTATCTTTTGCTAAAAAGTATTTGATAGCAAACATTTTAAAAAATTTTTGTGATTGAGAATCAGCTGATGACAGTGACTCATTGTACACGACAGATGCGTTAGAAAGTCAAGGACGCTTTTAAAAACGGAAGTGATAATTTTTCGGATATCCTCTGCATTTTACCTCAGACTTCAGGTAGAGACATAAACATCAAGATGGCCACAACAAATACACCGAATGCTACGGCACAAAATGCACAAAACAGAAGAGCACAGGTACAGTAAGCGTATAAAATAGCTCAAAATACACAGAATGTACAAGAATTTATGTACATCAAATATCGGAGAGAGTGATTGCGGAGACAATCCAGCGATTATTGCAACGACGCATTAACAGATTATGAGCAGTATTTACCAATGCCAATGGGTTTGCTCGAAATTTTTTTCTAAATGTTTATTATTTTTATTAAGGACCGGAAGCAATTTTTTTCGATTAAATTAAAATGATGTTTTAATCTTCATAACAAACTAAAGATATGGGTTCTAAAACAGCGCTTAGGAGTTGGCAGTTTTATCAAACAGGTCCAGGAAAATCCCTATTAATTTAGCTATATAGCTTAATTTACCTATATAGCTTAATTTACCTATATAGCTTTATTTACCTATATAATATAGCTTTATTTAGCTATTTTAGAATAAGTTTCTGTTTTATGAAAAGCAGACAAAAAGTCGCATGAAAATTATGACTGAAATTTTTTTTAAAAGGTTTGATAAAAACAACCTAGGGCATAAATAGTAAAAACATTACCTCTTTTAAACACTTTTTAACCAAAAAATGCATCTCTATTGTTTGGATAGCTGTCCCTCACTGGAAGTGCGATGAGACTTGGCTAAGTTTACTATCTATGCCCTAGGTTGTTTTTATGATGAAAATGCGCATGCTTGAGGTGACGGGTGTCGGTATACTGAGCTCATGAAATTTTTAGGCGCTTTTGATATTTTAAACTTTTAATTTTGTGAGCACTGTATATAGACACTCACCCCCTCACACAGAGTGCTATAATACTTAAGTGGTTTTGCACTGGATAGGAAGAAGAAGAAGGAAGTGTTATTGCCTTTCATTGTGCTGAATTATTACCAATCAATTATCTTGCTGACCAAAACTGCTTTTCTTTGTTGAAGAAGCTGCTTAATCACAGATTAACTGTTATACATAGCCCCAAAACTTTAACATCTTTGATTTCAATTGCACAAAAGGAGAAACATTTTTAAAAGTGGATTTTTGGTGAATTGTTTTCAGTCCATTTCAAAGTTGAAAACTAATACTGCCTCATTATGCGACTTTTTGTCTGCTTTTCATAAAACAGAAATTTGCTCTGAAATAGCTAAATAAAGCTATTTTATGTAGGTAAATAAAGCTATATAGGTAGATTTAGCTACATGTATATAGCTAAATATAGTGATTTTCCTAGATCTGATAAAGTCAAAATCAGTAAAAACCTAACCATGAGCTTTGCTCACCTCACTTTCTGAGCAAAGCTCATGGCTAGCTTTCTACTGATTTTGATTTATTTCTAGTTTATTGATAAAACGTCCGACTCTTGTGAACAGCATTATTATATGCATCATGACCACAGGGGACTGCATAGTGCATAGCCCCTATGATCATGACTTAAATTATATTTTAATATTTGCTCCAATAACCATGATAAACACAGGGGCTCATCACGACTTATTTGCCTGCTGCATGAATTTATATACATAAACACCCTTATAATGAAGTACCAGAAATGCTTGCTTCAATTATTAAAATTAACACTAAAAATTATATTTGTTTTATATGTTACCTTCACATTATGTTTAAAACTCATAGGGTATGAAAAACGGTGTTGAGTGGTTACGACCCGATTCCGTGTTCGACCAGCATGGTTACGACCCCAGTGGTTTCGACCTAGCTACTTATATATATTGTACACACAGGTGAATAGAGGGGTTCACACTATAAGGTATACACATGGATATTCGGTAGCTATATATCGATTACAGGTCTATGGTTTCAGGGATTGAGGGATACGTGTCAATAATTGGGTGTCAACATTGAAGTCAATAGTAAAGAATGTTTCTTAATGATTTTAGGACAAGGATGTAATTAAATTAATTTTAAATGTAATAATAATTCATATCTGAACATTTTTCCTTAAAAACTAATTAGCTTTTGGTGGGATAATTCACGAATTTATTGTCTAAATGTATAAACTGTGGTTAAACAGTGTAGGTTTTTTTTCCAAGTTAAAAAACATCATAATTAGCAATATTTTTAATTATAAACAGTTATGGTCGGTTAAAAAAAATCTAAATAATTTGAATAGACCAAAAAACAAAAATGTTAAACTATCAAAATTTGATGGAAATTGTTAAATAATATTATTTCTGAACAAAACCACTGGGGTCAAAACCACGTGGGTCGAACAAGGAATCGGGTCGAAACCACGTGGGTTGAACAAGGAATCGGGTCGAAACCACATGGATCGAACAAGGAATCGGGTCGTAACCACCCACATTCATGAAAAACACTTCTCTATAAGCATCAATATTCATTCTAAGCATGTTTGCTATAAGCATGGTTTAATGTATATGAATGTAACTGTATGTAACATCTGAGGGAGAAATGAGCACTGGACCAGACTTAGAATTAAACCCCCCTCCCCCACGAATTGCAAGTCAGAGCTATCTGACCACTAGCAACCAAGTCCATTTCTTAATGTTTACACTCAAATTTGTATTGTGTATATACATGTATACATTAAGGGCGAAACGATTACACGTGTAAACGGCGACGTTTCGATTATATGCTCTAAACGTTTACAGTTTGAGTAAACGTTTACACGAAGGTCATTATCAATGTCTATCAGAAATCAAGTTTAACACAAAAAAAATTGTTTTATTTCATAATTTACAAAAGAAACACCGTCTTTGGCCATTTGATAAGCAACAATCTAAACCGGAAACATATTGAATGAAAATATCTAAAACTCGATACGGGCTAACATAATTAATTCCGATTTCCGAGTTGCTAATACTAGCGATGTTTTACGACACTTGAAATATAAAACTTGATTTATTTTGATTAAATAAATACGAGGGTTGATCCAAAAGTTCGTGGAATTTCTTTGTAAAATTTTACCATGATTTGACAAATGCAAACAATAGGCATATTTATAAAATAGAGTCATAATGCAGCAATACTGGAAAATTTCACTACGTTCCAATTACCAATAAGGTCACAAGAGCTGTCTGAAAATGGATAGTTGTGAAACCCAGGGGAGACTTTGACGTAACGTCAAGTTAGGTTATGTCACGTCACGTTAGAATCATCTCACCCTAATGTCAAATTCGAACACGTAATTCTTCAAAATGCTGCCCTTTTCTCCATTTTTTTTTCTTAAGAAAAGCCTGGGTATGCTCTCGCACCAATTTATCTTCATTTTTTACTCATATTTCAAAATACCCCCCTTCTTTCCATATGATGTTCCGATTTCAGTAGCAATGTCAAGAACAGTACGTCAGCCGACAAAGTCTATTAACGCTTTCAATTTATCAAGGGGAACAACACTTAAAACAGAGCCTCAAGAAGGCGGCCAAACCTTTAATCAATGTCCATGAAGATTCTATTTTTCTTCATTTTCGTACGCCACTGGAAAACCAGTGGCTAAATGCATTTTTCCTCAGTCTATGTCAATAATATACGCATTTAAGATAGAGTGATCCCGGGATTTTCACAAAAGTTATGACTTGACCGAAATTTGACGTCGTCTAACAACCTTAAGATGAACATTAAATTATTAACTAATAAACAAAATATCCAGTAAAATCATTAAAATACACACACAAAGGTTTATAAAAGATCAAGCAATCGTAATAATGACATAATTTTCGTTTCCTATAACACGAAGAGCGGTTTAATTCTCATTTCAAGTATTAAGAATTAAAATGATAATAAACGCGTTGATGTCTCCCCCGCATTTCCAAACATCCGTTTCTATGGCAACTGCCATAGAGTTACTATCACAAATATTTAAAATATTTTTTAATCTAAAATATTCAACAAGTGTCTTTATTCTCATTTGTAGTTTTCAACCAATTTCACTTATAAATGAATGAAATATTAAGAAATTCCACGAACTTTTGGATCAACCCTCGTATAATACATTTTTCACAAGTCTTTGAAAAGTTTCAATACATTCAGCAGGTCCTGTTTTACTTTTTTCGAGATTAAAAGATCCATCTTTACAATTATTTTTTCTACGTCCGGTAACCAAATAAACCAAGCAGTTGGGTGACGAGGTCGTAAGTGAATGAATTTAATGCGCCTCAAATTCTTACGGTTAAATCACAATGACCAACAATAAATTTGTAATAACAGCTCATACTTATATTAAAGTGAAAGAATTGATTATTAAATTCGAGTTTCATGAATGAGTAGCCATAAAAATCCAACATAGAATATTTCCCGTTTAAACGGTACCGTTTCGTTTACTGCTATCCGTTTAAACGTTTACAAAATTCAGTAAACGTTTCACCCTTAGTATACATGTAGATTGTTGATATAGATCACTGTTCTAACATTATCTTCACCTTTTTTCGTTGCTTTCAGGTGATGATAGGGGAGCTCCCTACTGACTTCCTGCGAGTCTCCTACAACAACACACAGCAGCAAGTGATGGGGGATGAACGCATCGCTCAGATCCTCCAAGCTCAGCAGCAAGCAGGGTTCATGGCCCCCATCCCAGCTAACATACAGGGACGTCTTAGTCTAACAGTTGTACAGGTACAAAGTAACTCTACTATATCACCCACAGTCTGTTGAAAAACAAGAGTAAAACATCAAAATTAACTTTGTTTACATTCATTAAAATGTGAGTTCAAGTGAGAACAATTTCACATATGTGCATAGATGTATTTTGATCTCTGATGTCTAAAATATGCTACAAATGAAGAAAATACATCCATGTATATACTTATTCTTTTATATGTATTTCATCCATGTATATACTTATTCTTTTATATGTATTTCTCACACTTTGCCATTGAATGAAGTCAGAAAAGAATACTTATATTGACAACTGCTTACATGAATGTTTTCAGGCTAAATTAGCTAAGAATTATGGAATAACAAGGATGGATCCGTATGTCCGAATCAGGATTGGTCACTCTGTGATAGAGACTCCAACAGCTTACAATGGATCAAAGAATCCACGCTGGAACAAAGACATCAATTTGTAGGCATAATAAATATGATGTGATACTGTATCAGTAAATATAATTAGTTATCAGTAGGAGTAGTTCCATTGGTTCACAGTACTTCATGTTTATAAAGGGGAGATTACACAGCTGGTCAAGGTTATATGTTGTTTTTTTTGTATATCATATGTTTTAGCTCACCTGAACCAAAGACTTGAGTGAGCTTTTCTGATAAGAATTGCCTGTTGACTGTAGTTGTTGTCAAAAAAAAAAGTATCTCCTTCTCCAGAAGTCTTGAACAATTTCAACAAATGAGCAATTCTTCTACAGAGGAATATATAAGAAAAAATCTTTTAAAATCTCTGGAGAGCACCAAACTCTTGTTTAGTATATATATAATAAATATGGAAAATTGGAAGCAGGTTGGGACAAAATCGGAAATCCAAAATTGATATAATACAAAATATACTGGTAATGCATGTGTAAAGGAAAATATCTTCCCCAGAACAATAGGGCTATATTGATCATTGCAAAAGCATCCCAAAGTGTGTGCATTTATCATAACTCTTTTGTCTTTGAACGTATTGACTTTTTCCTGAAGATTTATTCATGAAAATGTAAATTTATTTTCTAACATTGTTCTGTCTTATTTGTAGATATCTCCCCCACGGAGTGGATTCTATGTATTTAGAGATTTTTGATGAGGTAAAAAAAAAATTTATTACATTTGAAATACTGTAATTTATTCATTGAATAAAAATGATATCCTGTCACAGTGTGAAAGGATATCAAAATGATATCCTGTCACAGTGTGACGAATATCAGGAGTGCAGGAAAACTCTCGATTTCCCTTCCCATAACGAAGATTGCTGTAAAAAAAATCTTCCTTGACCTAATATAAGATAGATGGAAATAAATAAACCATTCTGACAGCGAATAAAACTGTCAAAATTACCAAAAATATGTTGCTAAATCCATGTTTACAGTGTTTTCACCTCACTTAGCTATGACGTCTCAACCGCTCAACTATGACGTCACGAGCCTATGACTGTATTACAAAAAGACAGAGGCAAAGGAAAAATCAAAGAATTTTTTTTAAAAATGTAATAAACAGAAAATTCAATGTTTTGTAGTTGAATATGGAATTTATTTCACTCGTGAGACAGGATTTTTTTATATTTTCACTCGTGCTTCGCACTCGTGAAAATATAAAAAATCCTGTCCCACTCGTGAAATAAATTCCATATTCAACTACAAAACATTGAATATCCTCTATATATCTGTATATATCTATGAAAATACTGCCATAAATAAAGAAGATCTAAATGTAACATAAATTTTTCACATAAGTGCCTTCAGAAAATGTGTATCAAGTGTTCCGATTTTAATAACCATAAGAATAATTTAATTATCTTCGAAATATAAAAATGTAGAATGGATTTTGGTAATTTTTGTTTGTATTATGTTAAACAGAAACAGTTTACAATGGATGATCGCATTGCCTGGGCATACATTAGCATTCCTCAATCTGTCCTCAATGGTGATACGATGAATGAGTGGTTCCCCCTGAGTGGTCGTCAAGGAGATGAGAAGGAAGGAATGATTAACCTTGTTATGTCACTAAATGTAAGTTACAGGTTGAAGCTATTCTTTTGAACATTAGTTGTCCCATTATTTTGTGTTGCTTAGTCTAAAAAGTTATCCATATTTGCAATGAAGAATCATTGATATAAGAAATTGTCTTGGATCTGATAAATTTAAAGTTATTTATAAAAGGTCAAGGGCCCTTTAGAAAAAAAAATGAAATAAAGTTAAAAAATGATTTTTTTTATGAATGTTTTGACAGCATATTTTGTTTTGCACAACAGTATACGCTTATTTCATGACAACGAGGGGAACAGTCAAACTGTTGTCCTGAGGTAATGGGGAAGACTTTGGAAACTGTTGCCTGAGACTGAAGGACAACAGTTTGACTGTTCCCCTTGTAGCCATGAAATAAGTATATAATGCCTAATTACAATTTATATAGTAGATTAGGATATAATACTTTATAGCATGTTTCTTTATGTTTTCATAGGAGGTACAGCAACCAGCAGTACAACCCACCCCAGTTCTATACCAGCAGCCCATCGTGTACTACCCCCAACCAATAGGTAAGTCCTTAAGGAGCTGTTTCTCTTCAGAGCTCTACCAGTGCCAGCGATGTCAGTCTTCTGAAAAGCTTTACTCAAGGCTTAAAGGGAATATGGTTGTATTAAGCCAGTTGTTTTGCTTTTTGCTAAACATATTCTATTCTATACATGGATCTAAACAATGTTTTAATAAAACTAGAAACCTCCATTGGAATTGTTTGATTTTATAAAAGTTGGACTTGACTGGTTTCAATATCCCTAGAGAACTATTCTGAGCAGCGTAACCATAAATAAAATCTTACGATATTACAGGAGGGTTTCCCATTGCAGGTAATGTGCATTGTGTTGGCATAATTTAGGTTTTTACTAACCGTTATTTACAATGTTTTTAAAAAATCTTTTGGCGTTTTGATGTACATGTACTGGCCTTGTCAACTTCTATTTGGTATAGCCATACTTTCTAAGGAAAGCTAGTTTATTTTATTTCAATCTATACATCTGTGATAATTTATTATTATTACAACCCCTCTTATGATTTTAGAGACTGAATATGTAGCTTAATTTTGGGGATTTTTTTTTAATACCCAGATTCTGTTTCGAACCAGGGACCTAAGAAGTAGGACTTAATTATAGGAAACACATTGTCCATCTGGCTACCTACTACTGTGATTAGATATCTTTGTTGGATGAATGATTAAGTCAAAACTTTAAGATAAGTTAATTCCCAAATGGAATTTTCACGACCCCACCTGAGAATCGAAAATCACACTGAAGGTACAAGTGCAATCTAATTGAAATTAGATGTTAGATTCTCTTGCATACTCCCTACACATCTAACAACATCCCATAGAGGGTCGCGTCAGAGGTCAATTTCGGAACAACTCTAGACTTACTCGCTTCAACAAATATACCATGATTTTGCAGGCGACAATTTGATAGGTTGATAGAATTTGAACTCTGACTTGACCCTCAATGGGATGTTGTTAGATGTTAGTGTAGCGAGTATGCAAGCAGAAACTAACATCTACTTTTAAATAGATTGGGTACAAGTGTAAAATAGAGGTCATTTACAACTGTTACTATGGACAATTGCTTCTAGTTTATTTGTTATTTAAAACAAATGGTAAATTGAAGAGCATTGAAATTGTAAGGCAAGTTTATCATCCTGTCATGTAAATCAATATATTGCAGCCAAGAGGTTAAATGTGACGGTACATATATAAATGTTTTAAATCTTTTATATGCAAGTCAGCAATTTAAAAAAGAAAAAAAAACCATTTTGATACTGTGTAATCACTAATTTTCGTGAGGGTTTAATTTTCGTTGTTTTCGAGGTATGAAGAGACCCACGAATTCATGTCCACCACGAAAAGTAAAATTTCATATACATGACGACTCAACAATTCTTCATCCACAAAATCAAATCCCCACAAACCTGTAGTTTTTCCTCCAACCATGAAAATTTGAACCCATGAAAATATGTGATTTTACAGTATATTTTTTTTTCACACTTTCTTTTTTATTTGTCAGATGTTCTTGCATTTTGTCTAAATGGAAATTTGGTGCATGCTATGTTCTTACGTTTCCTGAAAAAACATGTTTATGTACATATATTCAGAATTCATTTAATAGGTTAGTCTTGATGTTTTTGCATGATTTTGACAAAATGAATACCGGTAGTTGTCTTGCAATTTTAATTGGTCCTTTACTGTACTAATTTTTGTTGTAGTTTCTATTTGGTTATGGTATTTCTTAAAATATTTGTATGGCATTTCTTAAAATATTTGTCCACTTAAGTAGATTGTGGTAAATACCTGAGTGTATGATGCTGTGTCAATCAGAACAAAAACTGGCCTTTGTTCTGCAGTTCTCTTTATATAAAAGTATATGTAGGTCATGGCAAATATCACTACAGTACTTAAACAATATAGCTCTGTAATATTTAGAACATAAACCTGCCTTAGTATTTTCTATAATGTTGCACACCTGAAGTATCATTTGAATCAGTTTCTGCATGGTCCCTTAATTAAGCCAAGAATCTTGATTCACTCTGTTGGACCTGGCCAACCAATCTGATATGGGTATACAAGTGTAAACCTATATCAAGGAATAAAATAAAAAATGCAATAGCCATAGACACAATGTAATTTCCATTACTTTCCCAAAATTTTTTAAATGCCTAGAATACTTCTTGTTTAGATTATTATAGCTATCATTTTAAGATATATACTCTGCTGAGCAGTGAAATCAACACTTCAGTCAAAAACAAACTTTAAATTTTTTGTTTTCTAGTTCAACCTGTACCTGCTGGAATGCCTGTTTACCCTCAACAAGGGGGAACACCCCAACCACAGCGCCCTCTATTCACAGAGGAAGACTTCAAGCAGGTCAAGGACATGTTCCCCAATATGGAGGATGAGGTCATAAGGTCAGTGCTGGAGGCTAACCGTGGCAACAAGGACGCAACCATCAACTCCCTTCTACAGATGAACAGTGACTGAGATTGATGTACAGATAAAACCAGACTTTGTTTTATAGGGGGAAAACCAGTGCTACTAAAATTATAAAATGTCTATGATGTGGACTCTGTTTCAATAATGAAATTGTACTAGTAGGTGTCTAAAGTATAGAATAAATCAGTTAATGATATATCATCATATATTTGTATTTGTAGCAGCCAGAGCATCATCAGTTTTTCTTGTTACAGTGACATTTATGCATAATACCTACAAACAAACAGTAAAGTTTTGCTATATTTATATGTATACATTGATAACTTCTGGTTCATATAAATGTTTCCATTCATAGTCTTATGTCAAAATCGAGTAACTACTAAACATAAACACATAGCACTTATTAATATTACAAATGAATTACTTTTGTCCACCATTCAACGTAGGGGTTCGAAACAGGCGCCGTCTGTCTGTCAGTGTATGACATAATTTTGTTATAATTGTTGTTTTGTTGTACATGTTGTGTGTTTGGATCATTTTCTGGGAGTGATAGTTAATGACTGTGATATAAGAGGGTGTGTCATACATTTCTGCCGAGCAGGTTGATTACTTAATGATTAAACTTAAAATTCAAAACCAGATATTGTCTTTTTCTTTTTGTTTGCTTTGTCATATTAATCAAGGATTTTATTTTAATAAAAAGAATGAATTAAAGTATGCGGATATAAAAGCACACACAGTGTATTTGTACTTAAAATAGTGGGCTTCATATTCAAGCAACTCTGGCGCAGACAATGATGCGCAAATTCATGAAGTCCGCTATGAAATCTTTAAAATTCATAAATACAAGTGTAGAAGTCAAGAGTTGTCTTTCCTTTATCATTGTTTTTTTTTTTCTTTTTTTTTTTAACTCTAACTGATATTATCACTTTTGGCTAGAAATCAATAAGTTCAGGTAAGTATGTTCAAAATAAGATTTTTTATTAGATATTCATAGTTATATAGTGCACAGAGAGCAATTAAGTTGTTAAATTTTATGAAAAATGAGAGAACGATCAACGCTAATGGCAAACCAGTTTCCTCTGAATATTTAAAAGTCTATAAAATTATCTCACAACCATGTTTGTGCAAGTTCTTAAGGGAATAATTACATGGGTTGATTCAAAAGTAATGTCATAACTGCGGTATAAATCTTAAAAAATTACAATTTATTGACAAAATGTTATATATGTATATTATAAATACCTCTATCTATTTTGGCTTTGTCTTTTGCCTTTAAATTTTATTCAGATATTGGTAAAATGTTTTGAATTATTAAAATAAACTTGTTTGGTCTCATCTATCACTAAAAGGTAAGAATACACAGACATTGTTATGCTGTTTCTCTTTGGCACTCACATGAGGTTTACAAGATTTCTGGATAAACTAAATATGAATGTTGGAAAGTAAACGTCTGAACAATGGTTAACATTTCCGTCTGGCAGCTTTGAACAAAATTTAATCTAAATACTTAATTTAAAAAAAAAAAAACAACAAATAAGATATTAGAATATTAAAACAAAAATCAGAATAGTTGGGATATTAGCATCTAAAATTTTAATAAATAATCAGTAATTTGAGATTTTTTTTTGTTGATTTTTATTTCACATTTAAAAGAAAATCTGCATGGAGTGCTCAAACAAAACCCTCAAGAATTACCTTTTGTATTTTACAGCTCCATTTATTGCCAATCTATACTTAATCAAAGAACTATATGCGGTATATTGCATATATTTGCCCCCACAAAAGTCAAATTTTGAAAACTTTCTGAAATGTGCTGAATTCAATAAATTGTTTGAGAAATATAAATTAACAGAAAATATTATAGTGTCAAAGCAATGTATTCACAATTTTTGTTTTGATGACGTCACAAACTAGTCCGATTTTATATCCTTTTTCAGAAAGAGGACAAAATGGACAAATTTTCAACAATTTTAGCTTTAAAATTTATAGAGCGCAAGTTTGTTCAGGAACAATATTGACATATTTCATTGATATTATCATTCTACACATTATATCAAAATATTGATCCTGAACACACATGTGCTCGGTGACTTTTACTCAAAATATCGACGAAATATGTACATTTTTCTGTAAAATTCATAAAAAACTGAAATTTACGTCATGTTTGTGACGTCATTACGTACATACGTATGGCGTCATTACTTATGAAAATATTCAGTGCTTTGAAGTCAGCATATACTCCCCTGTTTAAGAACTTAATTAAATATATCTCCATCAAAGTTTGATTTGGGCGGCAAATATTGGTTATTACCGAATAAAGTTCTTTCTACTACATGTATAGAAACGATATAAATTTTTCATTTATATATATATGTACATGTATTTACAACAATAAAAATGTATCTACTTTAAGTACATGTACACTGTAATAATTTCAATTATAACTAAAAATCATGTTAACACTTTGATTTAAAATTTGATTTAAAAAATGGATATATAAATCTTCAGTTTGAAGAGGAATGATATTTCCGACAGATTATCATGAAAAAAATTTCATGTATCTCTCAGATTAAATAATAAGTTGATATCTGCAAGATGTCATACTGGGACACCAGACAAAATTTTTAGTCCCTACAACATCTGGCTGAGATTAATAATAAGTTAAAAAGCAAAGCCTTAGTAATTTGCATGTTTACAAAGAAATTACATTTCAGCTCAACTAAACCAATTTAATTGAGTCTAAGTGCAGAAAATTTTCTCTTTTACATCTGTTGTTTTTAAACTTCTGATATTTCCATCTATCTTTTCAGGGAACATGGAGACATTTTAACAAGACCTTATGCTAATTGTACATCCTTAATGATATAAATTCAAATTAATAATTGAGATACATCCCTTCCACCCCCTAAAAGGAGAAAAATCAATCAGAAATTGAAAATGAGAAACTTAATAAAATGTTCAGCACCATTGTATTTTGAAATTGAACTTCTTCACTGACAATTATGTCAGAGTAAATGATACTTGTGTGGATTAATGCACTGTCTTCTTGTCGTCCATTATATGATAACACAAACTATTTTTCATTTGAAAATACGTGTAATTACTATAATAGTCTAATACTTTTAAAATGTGCATAAAAATTTCAAAATTCATATACATGTTTAATCAAATGTAAAATGTCTAATAGTTAAGTTTGATAATAAATATCTCTATCTGCATCCTAAATATCATACAAATGTTTGAGGAAACATCAACATATATAACATTACAAGTCTTAGTCCCATTCAATATGAACAGAAGATAATTAACACTATAAATATTTAAATAAGTTTAACACATAAAAACCATCAGCTCCTGACTACTAATAATAATTGTCTTCAGTGATCCGATTGCACATGTCTCCCCTCCTCTACACAGAGTTTCCGTGACTAGCAGGCTCTCGTCCTGACCGCGCGGATCTGACATTCCTCTCCCCCCGTGACTAGCAGGCTCTCGTCCTGACCGCGCGGATCTGACATTCCTCTCCCCCCTGTAGCACCTCCCTCTGCTTCTTCTGGACTCCATTAAGACACCCCTCCCAATCCTTCCACTGGCCAAAGAAACAGCGTTCTGAAAGAAAAAGAATAAATCCTTTACAGTAAATCCAGCATGGTTTTTAGGTCACCTGAGTAACTCAGGTGACCTATTGCTATCCGTTTTTGTCCGTCGTCTTCCGTCGTGTGTCGTGTGTTAACATTTGAACATTTTCAGCTTCGTCTCTGAAACCACTGAACCAATTTTAACCAAATTTGGTATACAGCATCTACGGGTGAAGGGAAACAAAAATTGTGAATTTCATGGTCCCCGCCCCCCTGGGGCCTGAGGGGTGGGGCCAAAATCACTAAAATTATTGCAAACTTTAAAAATCTTCTTCTTTACTCCTGGACATCAAGCAGGGAAGCTGTTGGCATGAATGTAATGAGCATTGAGTCCTCTACCAAAATTATGAAATTCATGGCCCCAGGGTCAGGGGTTCTAGTGCTAGGGTGGGGCTCTATAGATTATATAGTGAAAATGCATTATTTCTTTGAAAATCTTCTTCTCTGCTCCTGGGTATTAAATAAACTAACTAAGTACATAGTTATGTTGAGCAAGAGTGCCTTTTCCAGATTTGTGAATTTTATGGCCCCAGGGTCAGGGGTTCTGTTTTTAGGCAGGGCTCTATTGATCATGTAGTGAAAAGGCATTAATTCTTTGAAAATCTTCTTCTCTGCTTCTGGGTATTAAATAAACTAACTAAGCACATCGTTATTATGAGCATAAGTGCCTCTTCCAGATTTGTGAATTTTATGGCCCCAGGGTCAGGGGTTCTGGTGTTAGGGCGGGGCTCTATTGATTATATAGTAAAAATACATTAATTCTTTGAAAATATTTTCCTTTGCTTCTGGGTTTTATGCCAATGATCCAAGTATATATATATTTATGATGAAGAAAGGTGCATCTAGCAAAGTGGGTTTTTTTATGTCCCCTGGGTCGGGGGGGGGGGGGTTACATAGTCTGAAAATAAATTAATGCTTTGAAATCTGCTCTTCGGTATTAATCAACCATTTTATGATAAAATTTGCAAAATTTTGAAATATGAGGCCCCTGGGTCAGTGGTTCCTTCGGGGTGAGGTGCACAACTGGGTATAAAGTGGAAGTGCATTTTCTCTTTGTTACTCTGATCTACCTCTGGGTATTAAGTAAATAGAGTAAGCATGCTAAGTTGATAATTATGATAAGCAATGGTGCCTCTTTCAAAATTGTGTATTGTGAATTTCATGGCCTCTGGTTTAAAACAGGAACCAAATTTAATTGTTTGAAAGTTGTTACACAATACTCAGGTGACCTATAAGGCCCGTGGGCCTCTTGTTTAAAGGTCTCTTGAGTCTCTTGAGTCTCTTGGTGACCCACCCACCGACCCATGCCTTTTGATTTTCGTGACTTCTTACATGAAGTATGAACCACAAATTGTGCAGAAAATTGCACCTCCTTCATAGTGAAAATGCATTTATTTCTTTCAAAATCTTCAATGCATGCACCTCTGTAACAAGCAAACAAACTGAAGTGCATGGTTACAATTAGCAGGGTGCTCCTTCCAAAAGTGTGATATTCAAAGTCAATGAGACCAAAGTTCTGAAGTTAGATTGGGGCTCTTTTGATTATAAAATGAAAATACATTAATTTTATGAAAATCCTCATATTTGGGAAACACACTGAGTGCATGCATGGTATTAAAAAGCAAGGGTGCCTCTTGTGAAAACCATATGGCTCCTGATTCAAGGTTTTGTGGTTAGGACGTCAGCTCTCTATTGATAATATGTTGAATATGCAAAAAGTCTTTGAAAATCCTTGATCCTGTCCATTGGTATTTAGCAAAAGACAAATGAATAATTATGCATGTCTAATGATAAGTGAGCTGCACTGTAGGATGTCTCTTCTGAAATTGCGAAATCCAATTAGCTCCTGATGAATCTCTTGCTTTTGAGGCATATCTACACTACTTAATTTATTTCATTTTATACTAAAAGCGGATTCATTACAGTTTTGTAATAGTAAATTAATATACTTAGGTGATTTGTAAGGCCCTTTAGACTCTTGT